TTATAAAGTAGAATTCTTTTAAATAGCATATCATTGGATCTTGCTTTTTTTATTCCAAAATAACAGTCCCTTCCATCTACTAGGGGGATGTGGGCTATTTTCATTTAACACAGCTATCAATATGATTAAGTTTTAATCTACCATCTTTGTTTTTGATATATATTTATCCCATAACCTCTTTGTTCCTTTTTTCCCTTCTTTTCTGTCTTCCTTTGTATTGAGTATTTTATGATATTATTTCTTTTGTTGACTGTCTTAGCTACAGTTTTTCACTGTGTTATTTTAGCAGTTTCTTTAAGCTTTATAGTATACATCTCTAACATATCAGTCTACCTTCCAATAATATATCAGTTTCTGTATATTGTGAGAAACTCATAATAGTATACTTCCATTTGTCCTTCTTCTCTTTTATGCTATTGTTGACCTATATTTCAATTCTATATATCATAAACCTTGCAAAACACTATTATTTTTGCTTTATATAGTCAACTGCCTTTTAACAAGATTAAAAATGAGAAGTAAACTATCTTTTTTTTAAATTTTATTTTATTATGTTACATTAGTCATCATACATTACGACATTAGTTTTTGATGTAGTGTTCCATGATTCATTGTTTGCATATAACACCCAGTGCTCCATTCAATACATGCCCTCCTTAATACCCAACACCGGGCTAACACATCCCCCCACCCCCTCCCCTCTAAAACCCTCAGTTTGTTTCTCAGAGTCCATAGTCTCTCATGGTTCGTCTCCCCCTCCAATTTCCCCCCCTTCATTTTTCCCTTCCTACTATCTTCTTTTTTTTTCTTAACGTATAATGTATTATTTGTTTCAGAGGTATGGGTCTGTGATTCATCAGTCTTACACAACTCACAGAGCTCACCATAGCACATACCCTCCCCAGTGTCCATCACCCAGCCACCCCACTCCTCCCACCCCCACCACTCCAGCAACCCTCAGTTTGTTTCCTGAGATTAAGAATTTCTCATATCAGTGAGATCATATGATACTTATCTTTCTCTGATTGACTTATTTTGCTTAGCAGAATACCCTCTAGTTCCATCCACGTCGTTGCAAATGGCAAGATTTCGTGTTTTTGATGGCTGCATAATATTCCATTGTGTGTGTGTATGAGTGTGTGTGTGTGTGTGTACCACATCTTCTTTATCCATTCATCTGTCGATGGACATCTTGACTCTTTCCATAGTTTGGCTATTGATGACATCGCTGCTATAAACATTGGGATGCAATGTACCCCTTCAGATCACTACATTTGTATCTTTGGGGTAAATACCCAGTAGTGCAATTGCTGGGTCTATTTTCAACTTTTTGAGGAACCTCCATACTGTTTTCCAGAGTGGCTGCACCAGCTTGCATTCCCACCAACAGTGTAGGAGGGTTCCCCTTTCTCCGCATCCCCGCCAACATCTGTCATTTCCTGGCTTGTTAATTTGAGCCATGCTGACTGGTGTGAGGTGGTATCTCATTGAGGTTTTGATTTGGATTTCCCTGATGCCAAGTGATGTTGAGCACTTTTTCATGTGTCTGTTGGCCATTTAGATGTCTTCTTTGGAAAAATGTCTGTTCACATCTTCTGCCCATTTCTTGATTGGATTAGTTGTTCTTTGGGTGTTGAGTTTGATAAGTTCTTTATAGATTTTGGATACTAGCCCTTTATCTGATATGTCATTTGCAAATATCTTCTCCCATTCTGTCGGTTGCCTTTTGGTTTTGTTGACTGTTTCCTTTGCTGTGCAAAAGCTTTTTATCTTGATGAAGTCCCCATAGTTCATTTTTGCCCTTGCTTCCCTTGCCTTTGGTGATGTTTCTAGGAAGAAGCTGCTGCGGCTGAGGTAAAAGAGGTTGCTACCTGTGTTCTCCTTTAGGATTTTGATGGACTCCTGTCTCACATTTAGGTCTTTCAACCATTTGGAGTCTATTTTTGTGTGGGGTGTAAGGAAATAGTCCAGTTTCATTATTCTGCATGTGGCTGTCCAATTTTCCCACACCATTTGTTGAAGAGACTGTCTTTTTTTCCATTGGACATTCTTTCCTGCTTTGTCAAAGATTAGTTGACCACAGAGTGGAGGGTCCATTTCTGGGCTCTCTATTCTGTTCCATTGATCTTTGTGTCTGTTTTTGTGCCAGTACCATACTGTCTTGATGATGACAGCTTTGTAACAGAGCTTAAAGTCCAGAATTGTGAAGCCATCAGCTTTGCTTTTCTTTTTGAACATTCCTCTGGCTATTCGGGGTCTTTTCTGGTTCCATACAAATTTTAGGATTATTTGTTCCATTTATTTGAAAAAAGTGGATGGTATTTTGATAGGGATTGAATTAGATGTGTAGATTGCTCTAGGTAGCATTGATATCTTCACAATATTTGTTCTTCCAATCCATGAGCATGGAATGTTTTTCCATTTCTTTGTGTCTTCCTCAATTTCTTTCATGAGTATTCTATAGTTTTCTGAGTACAGGTTCTTTGCCTCTTTGGTTAGATTTATTCCTAGGTCTTATGGTTTTGGGTGCAATTGTAAATGGGCTCGACTCCTTAATTTCTCTTTCTTCTGTCCTGTTGTCGGTGAATAGAAATTCCACTGATTTCTGTGCATTGATTTTATATCCTGCCACTTTACTGAACTCCTGTATGAGTTCTAGCAGTTTTGGGATGGAGTCTTTTGGGTTTTCCACATAAAATATCATATCATCTGCCAAGAGTGAGAGTTTGACGAGAAGTAAACTATCTTAAAACATACATATATAGTTACTATTTCTGCTGCTCTTTACTTCTTTGTGAAGATCCAAGTTTTCATCTGGCATCATTTTCTTTTTCCCTGAAAAAACTTCCTTTAACATATTTTATTAGACTAGGTCTACTTGCTATGAATTTTCTCAGATTTGTTTGGACTGAAAAGTATTTATTTTGCCTTCATTTTTGAAATATATTTTTAGGGGGTTTAGAATTCTAGGTTCAAATATTTTACGTTACTTTACAAATGCTGTCTAATTGTTTTCTTGCCTGTATGTTTTGTGACAAGAAGTTCTGTAACTCAATACAACAGCACTGGGTTTATTAGACTTGGTCATCATGTGTAGAATGGTGATGAAGAATAGTTCAGAGATGGATCCTGAATCCATATCTGAAGTAACTCTGTTAGTAAATATAGGAGTGATCAGAAATTGGCTTATGAGGCCAGGGGCGGTAGAGTGGTTGAGACATACAATGATTTCTTTCACCCGCAGTCTCAAGTCTTAAAAATTTTCTTTCTAAGGACAGGTCCTCTCATCTAGTAACTGAGTATAATCACCAGTGTATATGATAAGAATTAACTATACATGGTATCAAGAAAAAGAGCCTAATGATGCTTCTAATTGGTACTGCAGATTTATCCAAGAAAGGAGGAAGGCTAAAAATGTGGCTGTAAAAAAGTAAAGTGAATGATATCAATTTATGAAGATTATTTACGTATAATCATCCCCATGCATCCTTTGCGTCAGATTAATATTTTTGAAAATTCAATTGTTTGTTATCATCAACTCTTTTAATGACTGCTTATTATATCACTGTTTATATTCTAATATCTTATATCTAATACCTATATTAAAACAATATGGGAACAGAAATTTCCTGCCTTCAAACAAAAATATGGTGAATATCTACTAGATATTTACCCAAAGAAAATGAAAAACACTAATTTGAAAAGATATATGCACCCTGTGTTTACTGCAGCATTATTCATGACAGCCAAGATATGGAAGCAACCTACCCAATAGATGAACGGTTAAGATGTGAGATAATAATAATAATAATATTTCAGCCATAAAAAATAATGAGATCTTGCCATTTGCAATGACATGGATGGACCTAGAGGGTATTATGCTAAATGAAATAAGTCAGTCAGAGAAAGACAAATACCACATGATTTCACTTATATGTGGAAACTGAAAAACAAAATAAATGAATAAACAAATGAAAACAGAAACAGACATAAATAAAATAAAAAGAAAAAACTGGTAGTTGCCAGAGTGGGACTGGGGTTGGTGGGGGAGTGGGGTGGGAAATAAGGGGATGAGCAAAATAGGTGAAGGGAATTTAGAGGTACAAAATTCCAATTATAAAATAAACCACAGAGATGAAAAGTAAAGCATAGGGAATATACTCAATACTATTGTAATACCATTGTATGGTGACAGATTGTAATTATACTTATCCTGACGTGCACTGGGTAATGTATAGAATTGTTGAATCATTATGTTGTGTACCTGAAACTAATGTAACACTGTATATCTACTATATTTAAATGATAAAAATTTAAAAACAGATAAGGGAGGATTTTAAAATAAAGTTCTGCCTAAAATTCCCTAAAACACATGCAAAAAAAGAACATACAGTGAATATATAATGACCCTTCTTTGTTGATTTAAGATACCTTAAAATTTATAATGCCAGTAGCCATTCTCACTAAAGTAGTTCAAATCTAAATGGTTAAGGCAATGGTTCTCAGTGTTCATAAAATTACCAGGAGAATTTGTTTAAAATGCAGCTTCCCTGTCCCTCCCCATTCTGATTCAGTAATACAGAGTGAAGCCCAAGAGGAAGTGTCAACAGGAATCCTTCCAAAAATTTTTATGCAGCTGATCTGAAGAGCACAGTTGGAGAAACACTTGTTGGGTTTGAAATGACCAAAGGATACATGCAGAGATTCAAGGGATGCAAAGAAGTACTTCTCTAAAAAGAAGTCGAAAGCAGGATTTAGGAAAATATTTAAGTAAAGGTTAGTTTAGCATATTTTATTCAGAGAAGCATTTTAAATGACTGGATATATTTGTGATTAAACTATCAGACTCTCCACATACATAATTTCTGAGTTAGAAATCATTACCTCATTTTATGGCAAAATATGGCTGAGAGATATGAAGTAACTTGTCTAAGGTTAGGCAGCTAATAAATGGGAGAACTGGAATTCAGCCCCAGAGCTTCGTAATCCAAATCCCATACCTTTCTGCAGCCTTTGCCTACCCCTTCTCATGTTCCCTCAGTGCTGTTTCCAGAGTCAGCGAGCAGAAACTTCTGAGTTACCACCATAGGAGTAACTCCATATCTAGAAAGTCCAATATTTTTACCTTGGAAAACAAAATAAATAAAACCAAGAAAAACATGGCTGTTATTCTTTGAAGCTTGTAGGAAAGAAAGAAAACTTTACAGAACTGTCTAGAACATGCTGATTAATACTTCTCTCCCAGTAATCATGCTGTATTGTCACTTATTGTGTGACATATCTCTCTTTCCCACTAGAAACTGAGTTTCTCTAGTTCAAGGTATGTCTTATTTATCTCTGTAACTAGTCACCACTACCAGAATCACATTGACAAGCTGCCCTGTGGTAGATGCCAATAGCTTACAAGAAACTTGTCTATAAATTTCACTATTTATATTTACTAAGAGAGGTGGTTGAGGACATTATTACTCAGTACTCTCTATATGATACTCCATCAAATTTTTTTTTCAAATTGAAGTGTCAGGACAATTTCTTGCCTCAGAAATTGGTATGCTTTCTCCTTATGAACAATATGAGTCATATACCTTTAAAATTTATTTTTAGTATTGCTTTGGTTTCCAGGAAATCAAGAGCCAAATTTGTGGCTCAACTTTATAATTATGTATAGCCTGAATATTTCTGCTCTAAATTGCCATTGATCTTGGCTTATATTCTAATTTATGTTTTCCCATTTTTATTCCTTTTTTGCTATTTAAATTTATGTAATCTTGTAGGTTATCTCAAATATTTTGTGAAACAAATAAATTACAAATAAAATCCCAGTGCCTCGCTGTATTACTTAAGATCACACCAGCTTCACTAATAGATAACCCCTCAAATCTTAACACAACAGAGCTATATTTCTCACACCCATTAATTTCCTTGGCTAGTAGCCTTCCATATGGTTATTCAGGATCAGACTCTTTTCACTTTGTGGACCCTCCCTCCTCCAGGATCTTGTAAACATTCTGATTCAACCAGTATACGGGGATGAGACTGGAGAAAGGTACCTTCACATCCAATCATGTTTCATGGTCAAGAACTAGAGACTAGTCTCTACCTATGCCAAGTCTGGCAGAAAATCAAGATCCTAGGTTGGAAGCAGCTTTCTAGGATTCAGCTCTTTCCAAGGATAAAGAACACAAATTTTTGTTGATCACTTAACTAGCCCCGTTTCCTACTTAAAAGATGTTACAAGATACCCATTGGATGATTTAAAGGGATGCTTACACAGCTAGAACCTCCTTATTTGACAAAAAAAAAAAATAATAATCTCATTTGTATATACTTGTCTATGACCTTGTGATCGTATTATTTAATCAACATATATATAGTGCTTACATGGTAGTGCCTATGAGTTGAATTTCTTTCAGAACTCAAGTGTTTTGTATGACCTCAAACTGCCAATCGAAGTTTCTTGGTCATGGTTATGTAGGTCAACAGAAGGTATTTGTTAATGACCAGCTTCCAGTTGCTTAATGAAGAACTATGGCCGGTAGGCTGAGCATATGGCTGAGAGGGTTTGGACTACATGGACCATGAATACGGTTGTCAGCTTGGGGGTAGGAGCTGTACAAGTCATCCTGATCCCTTCTCATTCTGAAAAAAAGTGAAAACACACACACACACACACACACACAATGGGGTGGACGGCCTGAGGCTGATCAGCAAAATTAGGCAAAAAAAAAAAAACCACATCAAATTACAGCATGAGAAGGATTAAGAGTCCTTGAGTTTTAATCTCCAGCAAAGTTAATTCTCCAAAATGTCAGGCTTTTATATTTCAGGTCAGATTCTAAATATACAAAGATACAGCCTTGTCTAACTGTGTCATCAGGATCCTCAAAATTCCTTAATACTTCCGCAAACACAATCCTCTTCTCACATTAGGGTCTACTTCTTGTTAAAAATTATACTGGTTTAAAGGAAAAGACTATGAAAAATAGCCCATCTTAATTTAGTTCCTCCAATATTCCCTTAGAAACCCCAATTTTATCTGGGTTTATATCCACAGTTGTTGCTTTCAAATCTCTGCTCTCATCCCAGAAGGCATACTGTCAGGTTTCTCTTAGAGTTTTCTCCAGGTACAGCTGATAGAATATATTATCATGATTTCACTTACATTGTATATGGTTTCATAGTTCATACTTCACAAAGCACTTGCACATGTATTATTTCATTATATTCTTACAGTAATCCTATAACATAGGGAACTTGTTATTCCCCTCTTATATTATTACTATTGTTATTTCCCTCTTTTGGTGAGGAACTAGAATCTTAAGGAGATGAATTAGTTTGCCCAAATACACAGTAAGTTGTAGAATGACCATGTATCCCAGTTTTCCAAGGACAGTCTTGGTTTATGCCTCTTCTCCTGGTAAAAAGTATTAATAGCAACCTTTTTACCCTCAAAGTGTCCCAACTTGAAAAATAAATTATTGTCAGTGATGAATCCAGGACTAACATAGTTTCTCACATTCAAACATCAGTATCAAGTGGGTGACGGGCACAACACATCCTCCCTCCTTCTGGGTTACTAGAAATTTATGGAGCAAAATGTTTAGTCACATCAGAATGGAGAATTGGGATAAAGTAAGCAAATTGGGATAAAGAAAAGAAGGCTGGATCAGGAGGGGCAAGATGGAGGAGGAGTAGGAGACCTAAATTTTCATCTGGTCCCAGGAATTCAGCTAGATAGGGATCAAACCATTCTGAACACCAACGAACTCAACAGGAGATCAAAGAAAAGAAGAGCAGCAACTCTCTGAACAGAAAAGTGACCACTTTCTGGAAGGTAGGACGTGCACAGAAGTGAATCCAAAGCGATATTCGGGAAGATAGATGGCAGGGGAGGGGGGCCTCCGTAGGCCACTATGGGCAAGTGATAGAGCAGTGGAGCACAATATCGGAACTTTTAGAAGTCGGCTCTGCTGAGGGCCGTCGCTCCAGCAGCTAAGTGGGGGGGTGGAACCCTCGCTAGGACAGTGTGGTTTCAGGACCCTCGGGGTCACAGAAAGACCGGGGGTGCCTGAGAGCAGCAGAACTCCCAGGTATCGGAGCAGGGAAGCCGGCTGCAGAGACAGAGCCAAGGAGTGGGCTCTCAGCTTGGGGTTGCCATAAACCGTGATCCAGGGGACAGTTGGGCCACCGCTCCTCCAGCAGGGACCCAACAAGTGGCAGATCTGGGGAGACTCACCTTCCACTCCCGGGAGGAATGGTGCAGAAGCACACAGCAGGGATCTGTTGGGTTTGGAGACTCCACACGGGGTCAGGTGCCAGAGATAGAAATCCTCGGTCACAGGCCAGGTGAGCATGGGGTGCAGCCGGAGACCAGGGAGATGGGAGTGATTGACTGCTTTTCTCTGGGGGCGCACTGAGGAGTGGGGACTCAAGTTCTCAGCTCCTCTGGGGCAGAGATTGGGAGGCCGCCATTTTCACTCTCGTCCACCAAAGCTGTACAGAAAGCTTGCAGGGAACAAAAGCTCCTGAGAGCAAACCTGAGCAGATTGCTTACCCCACCCCGGCAAGGGCGGGGCAATTCCACCTCAGGCAAAGACATTTGAGAACCATGGCAACAGGCCCCTCCAACAGAAGATCAGCAAGAACAGCCAGCAAAGACCAAGTTTACCGATCAATGAGAATGGCAGGACTCCAGCGCTAGGGGAATACTGCACATAGAATTCATGTTTTTTTTTCCCCAAGATTCTTTAGTTTTTCAAAGTTAATTTTTTTAATTTTCTGTTTTTTTTAATTTTTCTTTTTCTCTTTTTCAACTAACATCTTATCAATCCCTTTTTTTAAAAATCCTTTTTATTTTTCATTTTTAGAGTCATATTCTATCCCTTCATAGTATTAATCTTATTTTTGGTATATATATACATATATATGTGTGTATATATATATATATATATGTTTTTCTCTCTTTAAAATTTTGGGATACAGTTTCTTCTAACACACCAAAATATACCCTAAATCCCTAGTGTATGGCTTTGTTCTAGTCTCCCACTTGATCACATTCTCTTTTTTTTTTAATCCTCCTCTTTCTTTTTTCAACCAACTTCTTATCTTATCAATTCCTTTCATAAAATCTTTTATAATTTTCATCTTTACAGTCATATTCCATCCCTTCATTGTATTTACCCTTATTTTTGTACATATGTAATATTTCTTTCTTTAAAATTTTGGGAGGAACTTTCTTCTAACAGAACAAAATACACCCAAAATCTAGTGTGTGGCACTGATTTATGTACCAGCCTGATCATATTTGATCATATTTTGGTTTTTTTGTTTGTTTGTTTGTTTTTTGTTTGTTTTAACTTTTTCTTTTTCTTTTTTTCTTTCTTTCCCTTTCTTTTCCCCCGGTCTCAGGTCTCTTCTGATTTGTTTAGTGTATATTTTTCTGGGGCCTTTGTTACCCTGTTAGCATTTTGTTCTCTCGTTCATCTGTTCTCCTCTGGACAAAATGACAAGACAGAAAAAAATCACCTCAAAAAAAAAGAACAAGAGGCAGTACCGACTACCAGGGACCTAATCAATATGGACATTAGTAAGATGATGGAACTAGAGTTCAGAATGACAATTATAAAGATACTAGCTGGGCTTGAAAATAGCATGGAAGAGATTAGAGAAACCCTTTCTGGAGAAATAAAAGAACTAAAATCTAACCAAGTCAAAATCAAAAAGGCTATTAATGAGGTGCAATCAAAAATGGAGGCTCTAACTGCTATGATAAATGAGGCAGAGGAGAGAATTAGTGATACAGAAGACCAAATGATGGAGAATAAAGAAGCTGAGAAAAAGAGAGATAAACAACTATTGGATCACAAGGGCAGAACTCAAGAGATAAGTGATACCACAAGATGAAACGACATTAGAATAATTGGGATCCCAGAAGAAAAAGAAAGACAGAGAGGGGCAGAAGGTATATTGGAGAAAATTATAGCAGAGAACTTCCCTAATTTGGGGAAGGAAACAGGCATCAAAATCCAGGAGGCACAGAGAACCCCCCTCAAAATCAATAAAAACAGGTCAACACCCCAACATCTAATAGTAAAACTTACCAGTCTCAGAGACAAAGAGAAAATC